TTTTTTTTTTTTTTTTTTTTTTTTTTTTATGCATTCAAAATAGAATACACATGTGAAAGCATCAGAAATAAAGCTGCTTTTATTACTGCCTGAGCACGAAAAAAGTATAGAAACTGCTGCTGGAGGTTTTGTGTTGTATTTTTTTTCAGGGAGCAATTGTCATCCTGGCTATCAAATAGAAACCACAGCGCCTGAGTCAGATCTTCAACTGATGTACATCAGCAATGTCTCACTAATGGAGCTATCCCCTTTACTACAGCTGAAGTGGCCCTGATGCCGAAGTGGTTAAACCTCACTGACAGCAAGTTGTGGCTTAAACAACCCAAAATGATCTCCATTAAACACTTATTTCTGAAGGGGATGTTGCTGAAACCTGGGAAGGAGGCTTGCAAATGTTTAACACACTTGTCTGTAGCAGTGGGCTTTGTTTGAAACCAGATGCACGGAGATACTTAGCATTGCTACATGTGGCAGGAGAGAATGTGTGCCAAGGTTTGGTTCTCATCACACCCAGCCTTAAATTAGGAGTAACTTCATTAAGTCATTGGAATTACACTGGCATAAGTGAGATGAGAGGTCGGGCCAAACTGTATTATTACTTCCAATGGGATTAAAATAATGAGGAGCTAAAACATGTTAGAAGACTCGAGGGAGGAAAAATGGTAATACTACGTTCCCGGAAATGAAACTGGCATGGGAAAGGCCTGTGCTCTTCAGAATTTACAAAGGGGTTGTAACAATTGATCATCATGGAGCTGGGTTAAGAGCCAAAGCAGCCGTCTGTGAGTTTGAACGAGTCTCGGGCAGTTCTAATAAAAGGCAGAATGGGCCATGGGGGGGAAACAAATGAAAGAAAATAAGAGCTGGGCTGCAGGCCGGAATTCGCAAGTAATTGACTCTCGTAGAGCAAGACGCAGCTCGGTGTTCGGGGAGGCTGGGAGAGTCGAGATCTCTGTGCTCCAGTGCAAACCCACTGGCAACAACCAAATGACTGAGGGGGAGGTCAGCCGGTTAACAGTAGCAAGTGCAGTGCTAACTAGGGAGCTGCTAAAGGGGCCGTTTTGGCAAAAGCAAGGGATTCTCCCCCCTGCCCCAATGCGAGTGTTTTTATTTTTTAGGAATCCCAATTTTAGATTTTTGAAGTCAAGATTTCAACAGTTTAAGTAGAAATGAGAGATTTTTTTTTTCAAAACCATGCAGGTGTCTAACTTGCATTGAAAAGGGCCACATCCAGAAATGGACTTGGGCATGCAATATGGCAATTCAGGAGAATGTAATCCCAAACTCTCAGCCCTGAGACTCAGTTCCCTAGGTGTGGAAACTAGGGTGCAGCTTAACCTAACTCTGGAGGCATCTAACTTCCATAGAGGCCCCAGTTTATTCACTTTAAGGTTCCCCAAGTGCCTGCAGTTCAGCTTTTGGGCATGCCCAGAAGCTTCTCAGTCTTCGCAAGGCTGTACTGTTTGATCTCTGCTCATGCTTCAGCCTGGCCAAGAGCTAGAACCTGCCTATCTCCCCTCAGGTAGGTGTTCTTGGGCAATGGGCTAATGCATATTTGCAGAGTAAGTGCTCACAAAACCAGGAGTGACTGCTAGCTTCTTTTAAAACATGGCTGGAAGAGAAGGAGGTATAGCAGCACCTTTCTTTGAACGATAGCCTGGTGTTTGCAGCCCTCAGCCAGGAGGCGAGAGACTAGTTCAGTCTGTCTTCTTGCTGAAAAGATTCAAACTCGTGTCTCGCCCAAGAGTGCTCTAAGTGCTAACAGCTGCTCTGCGAGGATGGGGAAGCGCTCCATCTCTTGTGTTGGAAGTGTTCCTTAAGCCAGAGAAAGGCCAACACCTACCTGAACAGGTGAGGTAGGTGGAAGAAGTCTGATGTGGCTTAGGCATGCAATAGGAGTGACTCAGCCCTGCCTAGACTTTTAAGTAGAGACATGGCAAGCCCATTGAGTGCCTGAGGCAGAGGGCATGGGTGTGCGGTTATGCACTGAGGGGGTGAAGGGAATGGGTACGAAAGGAAGCCTTACCTTCCTGCTCCGACAGCAGCAGCCCTGTGGCAGGGCTCCCTGGGAACTGACCCTAGTGCCCACTTGGTTCCCCCCAGCAACACATGCATATTGGGTACAGGGTTATGCCTGCTCTGCCTGCAAAGCCTCCCTGGGAGGGGCAAGGGGAACACCATTCCCTCCGTCTTCCCCCTGCCAAGATAGACTACTTGGTGTAGCACTGCCCAGCCTGGCTGTTCTGTCTGGGCAGGGCACTGCAGGGCTGCCCCTGCTGTGGCAAAGACTCCAGGGGGTGCAATTCTGGCACCCATTCCTGATCAGTGCCCAGGGTGATGCCCTGCCTGTCCCACCATAGTTACACTAGTGCTTTTAAGTAGCTGGGGACCTTTACTGGCAAAAACTAAGGTGTTGAGAGATTTTTGACACCTCCAGAGTTAGCAGGCGGCTGAGGAGAAGGGTTTCCGTGTTATAACTTTTGAAGTTCGGTGCCCACGGTGGGACTTAGTGAGAGTTTTCAAAAAGGTTTGTACAAGGGACTTAGCTTCTTTGAAAATCAGACCCCATGGGCATGTCCTCACAAGTGGGAATGTGTGTTATCTCAGGGACAAAGAGGAGCAGTGGCACATGTGCCACTGCTGCTTGTCCCCCAGGAACACTGCTGCATGCACACGCTGGTGCACTGCAAGTTGCCCTGGGTGCGGTAGGGAAGGGTGGGGCCAGTACCTGGGGTCCTGGAGCCTCCCAGGGGTTCAGCGGCAGTGATCTACGAGTACAGAGCTTGCCCAGCAGCTGGAGCATGGCTTCAGTTTTGGGTGGCGCATGCTGCCACCATGTGTGCTGCCATGCTTTTCTCCCCCCCCCAAATTAGATCCTGGTATCTAATTTTGCCTCCATGCTGCAAATATGTAGCTCAGAGAACATATTCACATGCACTGTGTGCATTTTGTGGCACCTCAAAAGCCTTTGAGGTGCCGCAAAGTGCAAGTTCCCACTTCTGGGGAGGCAGCCATGGAGCACAACCCCACAGACATGCACATGTGTTTTGTGGTGCTGCAAACTCATCTATGGCTCTGCAAACCACATGCACTACACATTCTCCGCACTGCTAATTTGCAGCACAGTGGTTTTTTGAAACTGGGATCTCCTGGTGTCAAAAAAACCCATGCCAGAAAAAAGCATGGCAGCGCACATGGCAGCAGCCTACGCTGTCCAAAACTGGAGCCTGACCAGCCACAGCCATGCTCCAGCTGCCAGCCAGGCTCTGCATGCCCAGATTGCCACCACTGCAACCCCAAGAGACCCCAAGACTTCAGGTAAGGCTGCTGGGGTGAGCCCAGGTGCTGGCCCCAGCCTCCTCTACCCGACCAGGGGCAACTTGCTGCATGCCAGAGCATGCGTGTAGGGGCATTCCCTGGGGACAAGTAGTAGTAGTACTAATATGTGTTGCTGCTATTTGTCCCTGGGGAAACGCATGTTCTTGCTCATGGGGATATGCCCACGGGCCACGTCCAGATGAGCGCGGACATATGCCACATACTGCACATGCAGATGTTCCCTGTGCTGCTACTTTGCAGCTCAAGGGATTTTCTTGACCCCATGGGATCCCAGGGTCAAAAAAAACCATGCCAAAAAAAGCAGGGTGGCGCACATGGCAGCAGTGCGCACCACCCAAGACCGCAGCCTGGCAAGCCAGAGCCACACTTCAGCTGCTGGCCTGGCTCCCTACTGCAGAAGCGCCACAGCTGCAGTTCCCCGAGGGCCCCAGGACCTCAGGTAAGGCTGCTACCCCACCTGGGGTAACCTGCTACACACCACCTGAGCACACCTGGCATGGGTCTTCACCGGGGACAAATAGTGACACAAGGTATGCCACTGCTACTTGTCCCCGGGGAAACTCACCTTCTAACTCATGGGAATGCGGCCATGGAGTCTAATTTTCAGAGAAGCTGAATACTTATAGCTCCCAGGGACTTTAAATGGCACTGTGGATGGTGACCCCAGCTGTCTAAAACTGGACGCCCAATAGTCCAGACAGTTTGAGGCAAGGACTCCAACACACATGGATGTGGTACAAGTAAAAACCCCGGGGCTTTTGCAGAAAGATGGTATTGTAACAGTGAAAGACTTGGGACTGCACCCAAGAGAGTTGAAGAATACTTGCATTTTATGAAGTTACAAGAAGAGAATGATTGACAGATGGATTTACCAGAGATCACTGGAAAATAATTTGTTGACATAGTGACAAATGGGGCTGCAGGGACTAGTGAGAGAGGTCGATACTGTTGATTTTGATTTGTATTGATCGATGCCACTCGGCTGCCTCCTGGAAAGCAAATGTATCATCATTACAAAGTACCGACTGTGTAATAGGCCACATGATCCCTGCCCCACAGAGCTCACAATGTAACTTGATGCATAATCTAATGTGAAATTACAGGAAATCATAAACCCTGTGGCTGTCAGGAAGAGGAAAGACTATAGAAATTGAAGGGAAAAGGACTCCTGGAAGGGCATTAATTGTTTAGTATTAGTTCCTATTCTGAACTCATCACCGAGTATCATATGATGAGGTTCGGCTCAGTTTTGTTCTGTTAGATGTGAGAGGAGAAACAGATTAGACTTGACCTGAAGTAAATGCTGAAACAGATGATGAAAGAAATGAATTTTGAGGTGGCATTTGAGCTGGATCTTGTGGGAAAGACAAACTGGTCTGTTCTACTAACAGACGATATACATTTGAGCTTTAGTGTTGGGAGCACATGTAAACTCAAATGGGTTCGATAGCATTAAAAGGGCAAAAGGAAATCATTCCTGAGCAACATGACAATGACACCATTTTTCATGAGCCAGGTTGCCTGCCTGTCAAACCATGGTGGATCCTAATGCCCATCCAACTTTTAAAAGAAAAATTAGAAGGCAGGTTAACTGCATGGAGCACAACAGCAGAGTTGGGCATGTCCCACTGTGTCATATTGAGGTAATGCCTCTTCATCTTGGACAAAATCCCATGGAGGACTTGAGTACCTATAAGTTAAGTGCTGCAGTGCCCAGCTTCCAGATACTAGACCTCTCCCGTGGACGTTGGACTTCTGAGTGAGGTGTTCAGAATCCACTTGACTGGGTATGGATGGAGTGAAGCTCTCCAAAAATCACCCCACATGTAGAGCAGGTAATAGGGAGCCTCTAACATGCTGCCCCTCTCTGAAGCTTTGGCACCTGGCTCAGGGCTTCAGGGAGTCACCTCCATTCACTGGGCATCCACAGGCCATAATTCATTCCTGAGAGTAGGTGCCTCCGTTCATTCTTTCCAGGAATTGAGCAGGATTTATTCATTTCTTTTGAAAAAAGAGCCACCCGCTAGCTCAAAACAGATTATAGTCGGATGTTTAAAGCACCACTAAGAGTCTGAATCCTCTCCAGCTGACAGGAGACCTGAACTCACACTTCCCACATCTTGGGGCAAGGCTGTAATCACTAGAAACCATTGCTGCTTGCTCCTCTTGGGCCCCATTTGGAAAGAAAGCTAATGCAATTGCAATTGCTGTGACAGGTCTGTTCTGAGACAACCTGGTGGGTCAGGCCCCTTGAAAGGCACCAGTCCTTAGGCAGAGGAGTGCCTCCCTTCTGGTTTCCAATTAGTCCTGGGTGGGAGATTGAGGTGTGGACACTAGAGTGCTTTCAAGTCAGACAGCAGGGTACCACTTCAAGGGGATACAGCAACCAAACAGATGTTCTGGGGCTGCAACTTTGTAACTTGGGTGCCTCAGGTTCCACAGAGATATTTGCATCCAAAAAGCCATCAAATGCTAAATAAACCAAAACCCATTAGAGTTTGTCCCTTCCCACCCCCTGCCAAAAAAAAGAAAAGAAAAGAAAAT